AAAAATATTTTGCGTGATCATTGAAGTTCGGGTGTGGCACATAGCTGTATTTGTAAACGGAACGCGAGCCTTATTACTTTATAGATTAGAGACGAATAAATGCTTCTTGCATCGGCAGGTTAGTCCCCGTTTGGGTGGGTGTGTGTGAACATAGATAATATAAGAACCTAACCTATATGAATAAGCTACTGTCTACTCCTGTATTAACTAAAAAATATACCGCTGTTCGGAATGTGGCTGAAAGACAGGCTGCATGATTTCAGCAGGTGGCATTTATGGCCATTAGCTCTTTTAGTTTTTGTACGTTTTTATGTCAGTAGGGGGAACACGTATGTGTTGGGTTTGTCAGAATTTTTGATTTTGCATCCGTAGATATCTGCCATTCCCGGGTGGGGGACGGGCACTTGTTCTCCGGACCCCGTGACTTGCCCGAAGAAAAATGACCGAAGGATCGAGCCGACGCCTTAGACCGCTCGGCCACTCCGTCCCCAATATAATATTATAAATTATAAAATAGTGCACTCAATCCAGCGAGGAGTTTTATCATTCATTTTATTTGTTATTTAATTGATAAGTAGGTACCTTTGAAACCCTGCAATGTCCTAAATATCAAAATATTCATACTCGCATTATAGATACTGGTGGCCTATCCATTTTTATATTATTATCTATATAGCTATATAGAATAATAATTATATAATAATTAATATGGTTGTGAAGGACATCGTGGGACAGCGTGGTTATGATAACACGGACGCTTGCGCCGCCGTCGTTTGCTTAGAAACATATTGTGATCGTCGCAGGTACAATTTTGTATTATAATTTATAAAATTGTATTTTAACAGTACCAGAACTTTTTACATAATATAGAGGTAGTTAGAGTATTTTTTAATAAGCATTTAAAATTTAAATTTTGAAAAAGCTAGTCATCTTTGAATGGATCTGCGTGTGTTCAATATTGGTCATATACCTATGTGTCTGTATTTTTTTTTTATAATATTAAAATTTAAAACTATATGCTCACCTAATCACCTAATCTAACCAAAATCACATATCTATGGTGGTTTTTGCTCATCCAATATACGATAGTTACACACAAATACTTTTACTATTAATTGTGTTAGTAAGCTACTGGACTTAGCGTGAAGTTGGTCACCACAGCATGCAAATAATTTGACGGCTGTCAGAAAGTCAATAACTACCACTCAAAATATTATATAAGTAATCACGAGTGTGCACTATAATATTATATAGGTACTACGCTTTTATACTATATACTATATATCTATTATCTTCTTATAGAGAAAATAAGAAATCGTAAATTTTACTAAGCTATTATGTACCTACTCATCATTAGAGATAGAAAACAATTTTATGTACAATCGTATATTCGTAAAAATTATTATTGCACACTGGTTTTTTATTTTGTTTTTTAGAAGATAACTATATCGTCGATGACGTACACAAGAAAACTATGTAACAATGTTCTACACATAATTCAGCCTGATAACCATTGGTTATGTCAAATACATAGTAAAAGTGCATTATTATACACGAGCGTAAAAATATAAATTTCGTGGAAGATAAATTTATCATTACATAGGTACCTGAAAGTACGTATTTTTTCGGTTTGTAGTATTTGCTACTAGAAGAAATAGAAATAAAATATTTTGAAAATTTAATACCTGAGCTCAACCTCATGAATATAATATATTTGTTGTATGGTATAAATTTCTTAAGTCAAAAACTCCTAGTTTTCAGGAAGAGAAAACAAAACATTCAAAATCATTCAAAATCGTTGATAATGATGTCTTGGCTGATAATTAGTTTAATTTAATATTTAATTATAAATTCTATGTAGAAATGTAAAATAAATTATTCGTGGTTTTTGAGTGACTGAAGATAGTTGGATTTTTATTATATATGACTTACACTAATAGGGCATGCGTTTAAAATTATAACTATAAACTTGACTTAAGATATTAAACCATTTTAAAATTATTTATGTCAGATTCTCAAATATTAACTAGCCATACGTGTCCATAATGTGACTTAAAATGTTTAGACCAAAACAAATTTTTCTGACATGGTTTATAGTCTGTATCAAAAAAATATAAAAATGTTTGATTTTAATCATACTTTTAGCCAAAAATGTAATTTATGACATTTATACCATACACCAAAGATATATGTATAGGTACTACCTGATTATGTTTTTGCATCATATAATACCTATATTATATTAATCGATTCTAACTTTTAACCCATCCCTGTGGACTGGAAAATAGTTATAACTTTTAAGTAGGGCTCAGATTTAAATGCCCTTCATAGCACATATCACATACAATTTTGTTTAAATGTATATTGTGTAACGCGCATATATCAATTGGTTTCAATATATTGTTTTGTTCAATCACGCTGTATACACTACTCTGTACATAATGGTTTTTGATAAAAATAAATCAATACACATTTCTGGATTTAATATAATTTCGCTGGTATACACAAACATGTTATTGCTTATTATCTCTGCAGTTTGAATTAAGTAGAAAGATTTTTTTTTTTTTAAAATGGTTAGTTATTCTTTAAAATAATTAAAAGTTGTAAGTACTATCACTTTAGGTAGGTACTATGTGTAATTAAAATAATAATTACTTTATTGACAAAGCTTATCAGTGAATAAGTACAAGAGTATGTACAATTCTCTAAATTAACTTTTGACTTTTATTATTCGATTTAAACTACTTAGAATAAAAAGCAGGACACTTTAATTTGCTTTTTTTTCGTTTTTTTTATATTTATGCGTTTTTGGGTATTCATGGTACATTTTTTCAAAATGTGTTCTAAAAGAGTAAATAATGTAATTATAAACTATAAATAGTAATAGTAATAAAACTGACAAAAGTGCAAAATAACATATCCGAAATCAATGATACTGCACCAAGGTCCGTAAATCATAATCCGTTTATATTAAACAATAAATAAATATAACCATGGTTATCTTATTAGTTTGTCCAGCAAGATACTGCACTAGTGCGACTGCGCGAGTCTCTGAGATTAAAATTTAAACAGTACGATTATACGATAATAGTATACGATGCATACTATATTATATAATTTATGTGTGTACAAATATATATGTGTAACAAACATAACCAATGATAAATAGTAATATCGAAAATTCAAACGGTCCAAAATAAATGGTTGTCACTTGTCAATAACGTCTTAAAATAATAATATTTGTTCGTTTTATAATACAGTTATAGAAAGTTAGAAAATTTAGGACTTCAACCTGAGGCCCCCCCCCCTAATACAACCTTGGTCTTGAGGCCCCGGTGCAATGCACCCCCTGCAACCCCACTAAATCCGGCACTGGTTGTACGTCTTACGCGACACGCAGTCCCCCATCCCGCCTTGCTATTATACTGGCACGGTGGGAGAGTCGACCCTGTCGCGCTGCTTGCATCCTGTAGTGGTGGTTGGAGATAAGATATACAGGCCGCTATAGTGGTTGTATATTTGCTACTTGCGGGCCACGTCAAGGGCCATTGTCAACTAGGTACTTTATTTATAATTTACGTTATTTCACGGTTGTAACTTGTAGATAATATTATATACCACATACATTAGTTAAAATATAGTAATTACAAATAAGTAATAACAAATATTTTATACCAAAAAAACTCAATATTCTTATTACCTAAATTAAACTTTTATATATTATGCCTAACTAGTAAATAAAGTACCGTTATAATGAGTAAAAAGAAGATCATATAACAGAAAAATAATCATTAAGGTCATTAAAGCTCACACTTTTTTTTTAAAGTTGAATTACGTCCGGAGTGACCCTTAAAATGGGATGACTTTGGACACGTACGACGTACCTATTAGATTTCATTAAAAACCGATGTTATAATTACAATGGTTGACTTTGGACAATATATATATTTTTAAAAAAATGTAATAAATTGAAATAAAAAAAACTACATACACTAATCGCAAATACAACATAATTTATTTAATATTCTAAAATTCTAAAATTCATCCCACATATGACATGTCCGAAGTCACCTCTTTTTAAGGTAGTCATTAGTAGGTGCAAGAATCTTTGGTTCAGACATTTGTAAGGCCCCCCCCTGCGGACAAATTCTGAGCACGCCTATGTACCTACTGGCTACTATTTACGTAGTACATACCTTAACTAAGCGGAAACTTTCAAAAGTATATTTTAAAAACAAAACAAAACGAAATTTGAATCAGTTCATTGAAACCCGAACAGTTTTGTAACGGTATTACATAATCTATATTATATCTATAGTATCTATTATTATAATCCAGTGGCGTATTTACGGGGGGGGATATGGGGGATAGATCCCCCCCTTGACCTTTTTTTTTTCCTAGGTAGCTAACTAGCTAAGTTGTCTCATTTTCTCTAATATTCTTAATATGATATAATTATAAGTGAAATTACTTTCAAGCATGTATGTTTAATAAATGTTCTAGTCGTGGTAATTGTAGTAATTGTACCGCTCTGATAGTCTGATATACTAATCGCCACTAATCGTTGGCGGCATGTACGACTATCAGGCAACAATAACTATACCTATATTATGGTGTACTGTATTTTGTACGTTTCTGCGAATTATTTTTCATGCAAGAGTGTTTATAATAAACCCGATAAGCAATCGGTAAACAAAACAAAATGACCATGAATACCGTGGATTAACCATAGGCCGGGTTTATTTTTAGAAAATTTGTTACTAGTAGATTTATGGCTAATCGCTAATGTATAGCGATTATAGATATTATTATTACATTATATTTTATCGTATGATATCGTGATTTGTGAAAAGTAGATATTTACGGTCGTTGGACGTTGACGGATAGCGAGTAGCGACGCCATTCCGAGTACTGACTTACTGCCGAATTAACTATTGTTCGACTTTTATTTTTTTCGTCTTGTTAGTTGTAACTGTGAAGTTTTAAGACAATAAAACAATATGAGTAATACTCAAAAACAAAAAAACACTTTATTTTCTTATTTTAGTACAAATAAAAAAATTTGTTTGGAAAATGATGAGGTAATTATAAAAATTAATAAAATAATTAATTAAAATTATAAATTGTCATTAATTGTCTTTTTTTATTAATTTGTTTATTTGGCTATTTAGGCTGCATCTGAAGAAGAAGAACATGAGTTATTGCAATCCACATCAAAACCTATTACAAATATAAATGATATTGGTAATATCGTTGATAAATCGTTTTTAAAAGATGCCGATACAAAACTTGTAAGTTTCTTTGTTCCTTACTAATTTTACATCGTTTATGATTTAAATACATTTTTATTCAATATAAATTCAGCAAATTGATTTATAATAAAATTTTAAAAAAGTTCTTCTGTTCTATAGGTGCTTACTAATCTGTGGGTCCCAGATGATGATTTTTTACGAAGTATTCTTGAGGGTCCAGGGAAAAGAAATAAGTACACCAGTCCAACTATCCAAAATGATATAATAGAGTCCTGTAATACAATACTATTGAAAAAAATTGCAAAAAAAGTGAACGAGTCTAAATGTTTCTCGGTACTTGCCGATGAAACCACAGATATTTCAACAAAAGAACAGCTTGCTATTTGTGTAAGATATGTCAGTGATGATAACATGTTGCATGAAGATTTTTTACAATTTTTTGAGATTGAAAGTCTGACTGGTGAAGCTTTGGCAAATTCCATATTAAATGGTAATCATGATTTATACTATAGTATTAAATAATAACTGTTATTCGTACATATTTGTATAAACTACTTAGTTATTATCTTTTTTCCAATATTAAGTGTAAATTACAATTTTGTTTTATAGGTTTAAGCAAATGTGGGATTGATTGTAGTTATTTGCATGGACAGGGCTATGATGGGGCCAGTAATATGTCTGGGCAATTTAGAGGTGTACAAAGTATTGTTAGGTTAAAATATCCAAAAGCAGTTTATGTCCATTGTTCAGCACATTCACTGAACTTAGCTGTATCAACAGCTAGTGGTATTAGACCAATTAGGAATTGTTTAGGAATAATTGAAAAGGCCTATCAGTTTTTCAATACTCCAAAAAGAAATTCTATTCTTCTACATTAGATTGAAAATTCAGACCACGAGCCCAGTGTAAAACAATTAAAACGACTATGTGCTACCCGTTGGGTACAACGGTATGATGCAGTGAACGATTTCTCTGAGCTCTATCCATTCGTTCTTAAAGCATTAGACACAATATGTGATTGGAAAGATCCAGCAGACGCCTCTATGCTTAAACATTCTATGGAAGATACCGAATTCTTAATTTCGTTTTATATAGTTAAGGTATTCATAAATGTTTCAATTTTTTACTATACAATTTATAACCTACTTAGTGTTTTAATTAAATTTTTTTTTCAGTTCCTATTTTCTTTTTGTCTTCCTCTATGTAAGCAGTTACAAAAAGTACAAATAGATTTAAAAAAAACTATAGCTATAGTTGAGAATGTAGTAATCACTCTGAAGGCCATTAGAGACAATTACAAAACCGAATTTAGTCAAATCTATATAAATGTTAAAGTAAATAATTAAAAAAAAATAGTTTCATTGTGTTCAAATTTCAAAATGTTTAATATTTATCTTCTAGATGGCTGCAGACAATGTTGGTATTGAATTAAAAAAAAAGAGAGTCATTTCAAAACAAACTTTGAGAGATAATCCAAATCTTCTGGATTGTTCCATTGAACATTATTATTGTGTTACAGTATTTTTACCGTATGTCGATTACTATTTAATGCAATTGACTGAGCGATTTATTAATCATAAAGCTATATTTGAAGGTATTATATGTATTATATTTAATATTTATACACTTTTTTTTAGAATTTGCAACTTTATACCTATTACATATAATTTATTTTATAGGTTTTAATTGCATTTTCCAATCAGAATCACTTATGGTAGAAATGGAAGATATTGTTGCTTTTCAAAAGCTTGTTGAGTTTTATTCATCAACAATTGACCAACACTCTAGCATTGCTGAATTAAAGATGTGGAGAGTTAAGTTGGTGAATGAAAAAATTGTATTCACCTCTGGGTTACATGCGTTGGATGTTTGTGATAAAGAGTTTTATCCAAATATTCATGAACTCTTGAAAATTTTTTGTACATTGCCTGTATCGACTGCTACACCTGAACGATGTTTTTCAAGTTTGAAGAGGATTAAGTCTTACCTAAGAAATAGTATGACAGAAGTAAATATTTTATCAATTTTCTTATTTAATACTGAAATATAATTATAAATTAGTAATTATTATATACTTTGTTTATAAGAACCGACTTAATGGGTTGGCTTTATTGGCATGTCACCGGTCGATACAAATCATGCCTGATGAGGTTATCGATGAACTGAGCATCCAAAAAAACAGAAAATTGGATTTTGTATTGTAACTATATATTATATATATATATATTTTATTATTATTATTATTATTTTTTTTATCGTATTAAACACGGGATTGGTGCTAGTATGAACTTATAATAAATGCTATTAGGTACTTATATATTATTTGTGTTAATTTTTATTTTGCCTTGATCCACACTAACCTCAATAGGTAACAAGTTAGGGGATTTTAAAAATGTATATTATGTACGGATTTATGGGTGTTAGGATGTATTATTATATATTTCATCCCCCCCCCTAGCAAAATTCCTAAATACGCCACTGTTATAATCAATGGTAAAATGTTAATAAAATAAAATATTATAATCTTTGAATATTTTACAAAGACGCGTACAGCATACCCAATGCCCATTATTCTGTATAATCAGTTTACTTACCTACCTATACATTATATTTTACGTATTATTTACCTATATATAAATTTTAAATGTCATAATAATATATTATAACAATCGTTAAAACTTTTACGTGGTCATCAAATTCCGGGGCATGTCATCATAGGCGCAACTAGACCTATATTTTTGAGGGTGCACAAATGATAAAGAATTCCCAGACCCCCAGACCCACACTCTATATACAGGCTATAACAGGAAGATCTGAAAAAAAATACGCTACTTAAACGTAAGACAAAAATTGTGAAAAAAAATATTTTGAAAAAAGTAATTACATTCTAAATTAATTTATTCAAAAAAATATTGATATTTTAAAATATTCTAAAAAATGAACTACTTCACTTAGATAAATGTTTTTACCATAAAAATTATTCTTATAATCAGGTTTATAAATTGGGTATTTTACATTTTTCCAATAAATTTAAATTTAATTTAAAACTTTTTATTTTCAGTATTAAAAAATAAAACTATTTTTTTTTTTTTTTGTATATAATGCGTGTAGAGCAAAAGACTTTAAATTATAACATATGTATAGTAACAATAATTTAAAATGTATATTTAATATATTTTATATACTATATTTTAATGAGTGAAATAGTAGGTAGAACACAGATAAAAAATAAAATTGTCACATTTTAACATAATTTTTCTCTCCAGTATATTATATTTATTTAAAATACTGCGAATTCAGACTTTAGGATAACGTGGCCTATCTCTCCTATCTTAATTACCCAAATCAATAATGCTATTACAGTTATTTTTATTTAGTTATTTCAAATTTTATTAAGGTTTTTTTGACTCTTTCTAATTTGGACTAGAAGTAGAACAGCTTAAAGCTGGAAAACCTAAATTATCATTTTCTTGTATTTTTTTTTTTTTTTTTTTTAATAATATACCTAGGTTCTATAGGATTTATTATATTTATTTAATAATTTAATTTATGACTAATTGAATAAATATTGATATATTGAATTTATACTTTTTATATTGATTCAAATTCAAACGTCCCGAGATGACTCCAGCACAAAATGGTAATTTGGTTTCGTCTTAACTGACTTGCTAGACACTCTAACATGGTTTTCAAATTTAAATTTTTTTACACATACAAAAAAGCACCGGATGGGAAACCGTACCATTAAATTACCGAATTGGCCATGGGAGATTTATAGACACTGAAACTTCTTAGAGCAAGGCATTATCATTATATTCTTACTAAACCGTCTCCGAATACTAGACGGTCAAACTTTTGAACATTCCCTACAAAGCGCCAAGCCTTGTCTCTAGTCCATATCACCGATCACAAACTTTTGACTTACAACTGTCTCGACTATTATTATTCCAACCACATTGTCTCCAAAATCGGTACCCGCTCTCAGCGAGTCCAACGGGCCCCCGAGTTTCACTTAATGCTAGTATTATTATAAAAATATATTATTCGTAAGGACTTTCAAGTTTAAAATGCAATATTTTCATCAACAATTAATTCGACAAATCGTATTAATAATTGTATAGGGGAAACCGGGTTTGAGTAGCCATGACAGATCGACGGAGTAGTGGGTGTCGTCGCAGGTATTGCCGGCTGTTGCTGGCGTACGGTTACTGACCCGGTGATATGAACAGCCGTGCGATGATAGTGGACCGTATATTATAATATGAGGACGGAAAAAGTGAAAGTGAAAAGTAATATCACAATACGTTGGAAAGTTAAAAGTGTAGGTAATAAGTATAAAATAATAAATATTTGTTGCATGAAATCTTGATGGTAAAAATACGCTAATAATTCAAATAATAATAAAACAACAAAACAGTGTTTATCATAAGAATATTAAAAGGTTGCTGGTGATAATTTTATAATATTATTATATACGGCAATGACCGGTGGATCAGGGAAGGCGCGCAACGGTGGTCGTGAAACGCGACCTTGACACGATCTTGGCGAAATTAGCTTACTCGGCATATTATTATACATATTATTAATTGTGTCCATCCGCGAATAATAAAATAAATTACTTTCATGTCAATATCAATAATATATCATGAAATAATTTAGAAGTTAATAATATATAGGCTGATCGAGCATCTTCGCTCAAAATTGTTGCTTTTGAGCAATGATTTATTATTGAATTTATAATTAATAGATACATTACAGTGACTTATTCAATTACGTGGTACACTCCACACCTACTGTACCACCTACTACCTTTGAGTTCAGCAGAGCGGTTACCTTTAATATTATATATATATATATTAGTAGGTATTTATAAAAGCAGTATGTCGATAGGTATATAATTTTATATTTTAAAAACAATTACTTACAAATATAACAAATTAGTTGGTAATAATCAAGTACACATTTTCAAGTGCAATTTTTGGATTTTTTCAATTGTATTACAATTTCGTTGATTTTACACATTTCTAAAACAATTTATACTATTTTTCAATTTTTTTCAACAAATCTTACTTTGGTTTTTATACTTATTGGATCCAAATCAAAGAAAGTTTGAATTTCAATTACGTTTGAGGTTTATAGGTAGTAATTATTATAGTAGTTTAGATTGTTATATAACATGTAAAATATTTATTTATTTTCTATTTCTAATTAGGTAAATAAATTATTAGTAACTATATAATATAATGAGTATGCAGGCCTTAAATAGTTATAACTAATTATTAAGTTAGAAATTCAATTTATGTAACTAACAAGTAACATTTTTCAATTGAATAGTATTGATGTGATAAAATGTAATTCAATAATTTATTATTGCAAGTTTCAAGTTTCTACGAATAAAACTTAGTAGCGTAGAAATAATAATAATAAAAAAAAACTAATAATAATATTTTATTATTATTATTATTATAATGAAAAGTGCGCTGCAAATAGGTACCTACTACCTACTACCTAATAAAAATGTATCATAAATTCACAATATTTTAAATATAATATTATTTACTATATAGGTACAATACAATTTTAAATATTTTAAATTATTGCTTTTGAGATATACCTATTTATTTACCACGAACCTCATTTATATTTAACATAACTTATAAGTTAATAAAAGCTAGATGCCTAGGTAGTAAATAATATAGTACCTAATAATATTTATAATGAATTTATTTTATTCGTTTTGTTGATATAATTAAACGTTCATATTATAGTGTACCTATATGCTTATATTGATTAGGTACAAGGTCTTACACACGAATGCCGAAATATTTTTTACGCGTTTTAGTATAAATTGATAAGAGCGGGACACGTGCGATTATCAAAAAATGTATTAATATTCAAGTAGGTGTTGTACGTTAATAGGGAAATACGACCAAATTCCGAGCAGAATTAATATAATATTAAAATATATATTGTGGTCATGTTAAAATGCGTAATAACTTACCAGCATTGCCAGTTTTAGCGTTGAGCTTCTGAGATTATTAATGGTACCATAGAATTATGTTCTTTAATTAATGTCCGATAAAAATATGACAGCATTACTTAAGACGCCAATTATACGATCTCGCACTTGCAAACGTCTTTTGGTTTACAGGCATCAGATGTTGAAAATATCACAAACTCCTTTCTGTTAAGAGATACTTAATACAACGTAAATAATAATTGTACCATCTGCCAATAAATATTGTATACTTCATCAGTAGAATTTACTAATGCCCACCAACGTCCAAAATTACCTATAGGTATGTTGAAATACGTCTGCCAGTCTCTATGTGACTTTCTGAGCTAGACCTTTGTTATTTTTATTTTAGTTTATTTTCATGCTATAGTTATGTCGGTGAACCAAGTAGGTACAACAGTAATCTCTGTTGGTCAAAATATATGCACCTTTTTCTGGGATTCTGGCCTAAAATATAGACAGCCACGACTCTTTTTGTCGTAATCGAACAAGTTTTTTATAGTTTTCACTATCAAATCTGTAAAAACCATATAAGATGAAATAATCGAAAAACACATTTGAATCTAATTTGGAGGCCCGTGGGTACCTCATAGGTATTATGGTATTACTATCTTAAAGTAAAATATTATACATTTATAGCTTATTATTATATAGAGGTTTCATTTTAAGGATAGGTTGATAGGTACCTAAATACGTTAAATATTATATGCAAAAGTATAATGCTGAAGAACTCATTTAATACAAAAAATCATTGCCATCTGTTTAAATATAATTGTGTCCACATTTTAAATTAAAATGTCTATAAAAAAAAAAATGTACGCCTCTATAATCTAGATCAATTGTTTACGTCGGTATTTCATATTAATGTAATTTGTACATTATAATAATTGTTTTTGTAGTTTTGGTCGTATTTTGGTCTTACGCATAATTTCAGCCTATTTCTAAATAGATACCTTCCAAGGAAGTATGTTATGCCAAACTGAAATCATTCGATAACGCATTTTGTTGATTAGCCAGTATTTTGCGCAAAATAAATTATCACCTAAATAACTTATTATTCGAAGGTAGGTATTTCAAAATGACTCGTTGAAAAAACACATTATTGTTTTTCGTATGTTACGAGTGCAGAATTACAACCTATAATATTTTGATAGATAAAAATAATCGCTGTTTTAGTATAACGTGATT